CACCGTCGCCCCGGCGGCGGCGGCGGCGGCGGCGGCGGCGGCGGCGGCGACCCCGAGGCAGACCCGCGTGGTGGGGGGCCCGCGGGATGATGCGCGCGGGGACGTAGGCTGCGACCACGGCGGCGGTGGTAGGGCGGCGACGGAGTTTGCGGTTGTCAAGGCCGGGGCCATCCCCGATGAGATAAATCCCGCCGCTTGGAGTTCCGATCACGGCGGCGGGCAGCAGCTTTCGGTGGGGGGGTTCTCGTTTCCGGCGGTTGTGGTGGAAGGGGAGGGGGCAACGCCAGTGGCGAGCGGGGGGGGTCGGCATCCGCGGGCGACCTCGGGCGAGGAGCCGGGAGCGGGGACAGCGAACGGTCGACCGCAGAAGAGGCTGGAGAGGCAGCTGGACCTACGCGGCGTGGTTCTGGATGCTCACGAGGTAATTCTTGAAGATAGATGTGTGCTGGCTATTGTGGTACACATGAGAAACGTGGCTGCAGCACATTCCCTCCCCTTTTCCTTGGGTGTGGTGCACAGCTACCCAGTGCTCTACGAGAGAGCGAGAGAAAAGGTGCCCGCAGTTTTCTGGTTAGACAATTACTTTGAAAGGAGTTTTCTGATTGGCAAAATATCCCTGGTTGACATGATGTGTCACCCACGGCAGGTTCACTTTGTTCTAGAAAAAAACAAATATTTCAATCTGACCGTGTTTGTTGCCGCGTCGGCTGATTGATGATGATAATTGATCAGTATTGACATCTATCTCCCTGTTGGTTGGTGAAAATACACACAAAACCCTCCGACTGCTGTACCATACACTGAAATACTAGAGGTAGCCTGTGTGACTTGCCATCATCAGTACAAGCCCATACGCCCAACATAAACCAATCATCGAGGTACAGCAGCTACCAACGGCAGCTACCGTAGTCGGAGAGTTGGCACCGGGTGCGATCGTTTTTTTAAATGTATTTTCCTCGGGTTTCCATCGCACCCCGGTGCCATCTCTCCAACCGGTGCCATCTCTCCGACCCCGGTGCGGAAATGCATTTATATCATTTTGTTTATAATTTTCAAGGCACCCCGTTGCGATCTCTCCGACCGGTGCCATCCCCAATAAAATACACCTAGACAGGTGTTGTATGCACGCACCCCGGTACCATCTCCCCGACCGGTACGATAGTATTGATACCAGTGTAGGCAACCCACACACACGGTCTTCTTCACACGCTAGTTGACAATGCTATCGATCGGTAAGAACCACACGTACGTACGTGTAGGTACCGTTGTTGCTGGTTGGACGCACACCGGTAACGGCAACGTAGGCTGGTACGTAGCAGCTTTCCATGCAGTGAGTGGTCTTGTGTTTGATGCGAGTTTGGCTATGGCGTGACAACAACAAACTGTGTCGTTTCCATCTGAGGTGGTACCAGTACACACGGTATCAATTGTTTGTTTCCGGCTTTCGTTGCGGTCTTCTTCTACGGATACCAGTACGTACGCAGCAGTACAATAATTTCGGGTTGTGTAACGTGGGGTAGGGTGCGGCTTGTGTGTTGTATGTTTGGTTGAGTGTACGGTTGGCAACTTCCATACCAATAAAAAAAAATTAAAACAATTGGCATCCCGCGCGAACCGCGACCATCCAATCGTACGTAAAGGAGTCGCGCTCCGCTGACACCGTTCCCACGGGTAAAAGGTACGCACATGAACCTCATTCCGGCAGCTGAAAAGGAGCTCAATCTTGGATTTCGGGGTCGGAGAGATCGCACCCGGTGCGATCTCACCGACCCCGGTGGTAAATCGAATTAAATGCTTTTTTCTCGGGTTTTTCATCGCACCCCGGTGCTATCTCTCCGACCGGTGCCATCTCTCCGGCCGGTGCCAACTCTCCGACCATTACGGGAAGTTGTTAGTTAAGGAACGTAGTTCGCGGAGGATGGATGAAACCACACCGACTGACTGAGGTTGTGTGTGTTGTTTGCTGAAGCATTCTTGAACTACCACTCATCACTCCACACAAGCAGTAGACAATACATTCTCCTTCCATCCATCCACACTTCATTCACCACACACAAGTGTGCGACATGGTACACCATCAAAATCACACATGATACATACATACCACACGCATTCTGTTGTACCTATACTCACTCGTACACTCTTCTTCTTGTACATGACGAGATTAATATCGTAAAGAAGAACCACCATCAATCTTCACTCGACGAACCATTCGAAAGATACATACAACTCCAATCTTTACCGGGAAACAACCGTCTCCCGACTTCTACCACAGGCGCGCACAAACGCATGCATCCCTCTCTCTCTCTCTCTCTCTACGGAGATCGATGTCACCCGCGCTTTCGAGAAAGAACGACACGCGTTCTCGCCTCTCACATCTCGACAGCAGTTTTCCCAACACACAATAATACCCACCACGCGCACGTACAACAATTAGGATTCTGGCTCCCCTCCTTTTTATGGTAGGTTCCTGCGACCGGAAGAGACGACAAGATCGTGCGGCGCGCTCTGGCGAGGGTACAGGCCCAGGTTTTCGGCCAAGGCGGCGAGGTGTCAGTACTGAGGGCGCTCAAGGCGGAGGGAAAGACTCCCGGAGACGCCGCAGACTTGTGGACGACGTGCCGCCTGCTGAAGATCGTAGGTAAGCTGGGTGTCCGGGGAGCGGCGGAAAGGCAGTAGGTGTGTGGCGCGACTTGGGCACTCACTCGCTTTGTCGGGTGTCATTCTCGCCGGTTCCAGGTTGGGCAATTTCGCTCCTCGCACCTTGTCTTTGGTGGCGTTGAAGTGTCACCAGCGTGCGGTGTTGTTCTGAGGAGGCTTCGTACTAAGTATATAACCCACATGCGCCCGCTGAGTACGCTACGCGCGTGTTTCGATATACCTAGTGGCCCTAGGAAAACCCTGGCTAGCGACGGAAAACGTCCATGTGTCAGTCAATGTGTGTGCACGAGGACGAAGACCATCGACAATCGTGACGCGCAACCCTTCACCCAACCGTTTTCTCTCCTTGATCCGCCCTCGCAATTCTAACGCCCGCTGGGCAACACTGCTCTGGACCGCATCGCACCGCACCACACGGTAGCGGAGCTGTCCCGCCGGGAAACGGAGGGCCTGTGGCTCAAGTTCATGCCCGCCGCCGTCGAAAAGGCGGGGGACGGGGGAAGGGTGACTTTCGCGGGTTTCCTGGAGTCCATCAAGACCTTCGAGGCGTGCCTACGGAGGGGGGAGTTGTTGGGGCTGACGAGCATCGGGTGGAACGGCAACTGCGCCGGACCCCTAGTCGAGGAGACCAGCAAACGGAACCAAACCCAGCGACAGCACCGTTCGTGAGGGCGATGGGAGCCGAACGATTGGAGAAGGAAAGCACGAGGAGGTTGGTACATTGTTTGTTGATGATGCCGCGTCAGCCGGAAGGGTAAATGATATGTCGAGACCGACATTTAGACAGAAGTTTGAGAGACTTAAAGAAGACAGCGGTAGATAAGTAGCCTAGTACCTCTGCGTGTCCAACAATACCTTGTAGATGTGAAAGTCACACACGTTGGGGTAGTTGGTGAGTCTTTGTTGTTGGAGAAAGCAAGTAGAAATTGGAGGAAAAGTTGTTCCCGGAAGAAGAAAAATACCAGGTAGGGAGTGCTTTGACCACGCCTCTTCAGCCTCCGGGAATACGCAGCAGTCGGTGATTTCAAGGTGTCATCGCCACCGTCATGCTTTCCGTTTCTGCTTGGGTCTCCCCTTGTAGGCATATTCAGGGATCGGCAATTACTGGTAGTGTCGCGCATGAGGCGAGGCAATGACTTGTGGTGTTCGAACTGGAGGGAAAATCGGCACTGCATGGATTAATATGTAGTCGCCGCCATTTTGTTAGAAATCGGGTAGAAGATAGACTCAATGCAAGGCTCTCCCGAGTCGTGGTCCATGTATCGGGTAGTAGTAACTGCTCTGGTGTAACCAAGCGCCGGAGGTAGCGGGGCTATCCGTCATCACTCTAGGACGGCATACAGCCGAACCGAGGCAAGTTTAGGGGAGGATGAGGAGGCAAAGACATGGCCCAGGCAAACCACGCAGGCAGAGACCGCCATGTCGCCATATTCAGTCCGCTACTCACTCAATCAGTCACTGACGGTTGGGTTCTAACCTTCCACAGATTGGATCCGGACGGCGACATCGGGTATAGTTGCAGATGTGTAATAGTTCATTAGTGGTGGGTTTGGAATCAATTTCATTTAAAGAATGAATCAATTTTCCCGCTCGGCACAAGAGTCAGAGAGTTCGAATCTTAATGGAAATCAGCGGAGAGAACAGTCGCCAAGGCTTACCCCCATGAACGCAAGCCGCATAACAACACTCACCCGCTCATATGCGTTCACACGCATCAATATTCACTTTGACCAGGTACTCCAGCCTGCGGAGTATCGGAGAGCGCCACGGCGCCGCATACCCTTATACATTCAAGACCGACACACGGGGTACCTTTGACCATAGGAGAGCATCGAGAGACAAAACCACACTTCCCCGTGCTTGGTGCTACGAGTAACTACTCCGAAACACACACAAGACCAGCCCATTGTCTACCCCGATCCCTATTTCAGGAATGTTTTTCTCGAGCCGGACGCCCTCCCGCCACGGCAGACGGCAACGCGCCGCGGTGCACCGGCCACACCAGCCCACCACCTACGGTGCTCGCTCCACCTCCCGCCCATCCACGCGCCTCCCCTTCAACCCGACCGTCGTCGCCCCGAGCGTCAGGGTGTCCTATCCCTGTCCAACCGATGCCAGCGTCTCGTTGTGGATTGCTTCCTGGTGGTTGGTCGCTCCCCCACCGGCTGCTTCCCGAAGGACGATGGCGTGTGTGAAGGGATGATCGGCCGCCGTCACCCGCCGCCGCCGCCGTCGTCTCACTCGAAGGGAAATACGAGTCTTCACTTTCGTAGGTCTCTTCCAACCGCCCGGGCATTCCTTCCGCAAAAGAAAGCATTTTTTGAACGTCTGTTGGTTGTGGATTGTGGATTGTGGATTGTTGTTGTTGTTGTTGTTGGTTTTTTTTTGGCATCGAAACGGTGCGCGATGCACTCTGCGCTGTCTACCTTGCCGAGGAACGCTCCGACTATGAAGCGAGTCAAGTTCATGGACAAAACTCACGCGGTACGCGCTGTTGCACGGTTACCAATGCACGCCGCCGCCAACGTTGCACTATTGCACAGGCGCGAGGCGGGAAGAGCACTACCCTCGCATGACGCGCCAACCCCCCAGTGTCAGCCAAAAAATTCGCGACACAAAATCAAATCGGGACCTTGTTCGGTGTGGAGACGCGCCACGTCCGAGCCAGAAAGGCTCTCACCTTCGCCCAGCGGCGGCGCCTGCAGGCCGGAGTGATGCCGAAAGACCTCTCCAAAGAACCTGTCGAATAACGCCTCCTCCTCGTTCGACAGTTTCGAAGCGCACTTTCACCGGTGGGGTGTGGGTACATGTGTACCGCGAGAGGGATGTCACGAAGCAGGGAACGCGCAGGACAAGGAAAATGACAAATGACAACACAAGACACACGTGGCAAAGGGGGCGAGGTTTCAATTTTTAATATTTTTCGGAGTGCCACGGAGGCCTTCGTCATCTGGAGGAGGATGTACCGCACACAACGGAGAGTGAAACGTCCCCCCCGAGAATACAACAGTAGTGACAAGGGCACATCGCACCTACGGACATCCCACGGGGGTTCACGATCAAGATCATGCTGGAGGCCATCGACGGCGACTCGCGTGAAAAAGATCAGACCAGTACGGGCCCTACCCGGTAAACGGGTCTTTGTCAGCAATCCCTCCGCCCGTCCTCTCGAGGATGCGTGGTCAATTGTCTAACAGTTAAGTCATGCAAGACATGAGTACCCCCCCGGGCCCCACCTCCTATCACTATCCACCGGTTGGCCCGAGGCTCGGTTTCTCACCACAGCCACGTGCCCGACGCCGAGCTCCGACGCTAGCGCCCCCCCCTCCCGCCGCACGCCTTCTCCGGTATCCGCCTTGGCTCCGACTACAATGAGAGGGACCCTGCCGCCGCCTACCGCTGCTGTCCCAGACCCTCCTCCCTCCAGGTCGGCGGCGAGCCCTTCCGAGAAGAAATCCGGTGGATATTCGGTGCTTCTGCCGCTCCTCAAGCTTCTCCCGGAGGAGGAGGCGGTAGCACTCGAGCGGCCGTTGTTGCCGCTCTTGCCGAGAATCGAGATCCCGGCGGAGTCGAGCTCGGCGACCCACACGCGTAGGTCTCGCAACGACCTTTTTTGGTTGTTGTTGTTGTTGTTGTTGGCAGCAGCAGTAGCGGTGGTGGTCGCGACACGTGTGCAGAACAAATAAGAGGGCGTTGGGTCGGGGCATTGGGGGGGGGCGGGGGGGGCATCGTGACCGCGGCAGACGCGCTGTCTGACAAATGGGTCTCATGGGGCGATATAATCGGAGGTGGCCAAGAGATAGAAATCAACGGCGGGCGTTTCTCGTAACAGTATCTAGCAGGAGCCTAGATCATCGTGCGGGTGACACGGAGAAGGCGTTACACTTCACCTTGGGATAGAAACATCATATACCAGGAGCACCCCTGCCGCTTCGCATCCTTCAAAGAACATGCCTCGAGCAAGGGCGGCGTCGGGGCTTCCGCCCACGTCCCAGAACTCGATGGACCGGTTCGGGTGCCCTCCTGCGAGCAGCTGCATGTAGGCAAGAAGTGTTTTGTGATAAGTGCCAGCTGGCATCACTGATACTTTCAGTCATACTTTCAGTGTACGCCGTGTGGTGAGGTTAGGAAACAAACAAGAAGAGCTCTGCAGAGAACAAACGCTCGAGATTGACGCAGGTTCCACAGGCACTGCTATCTGCCGTGACAAATTGCAGATGTCGCTTGCACAAGGAAGGAAGTTGTTCCTGACGACCAAACGCAACCGGAAGACAATACAATGTTGACCGATTTGCGATGAGGGGCGACACTTGACACCTGACACCCGTCCTACATAGTCATGATGCAGACCACTGATGGTGGACGGCACGGTCGTCGGAATGGATCTACGACATCTCCCAAAATAAACGGCACGTTCAGCTACAGTAGCGGCTACGGTTTAGTGTAAAATGTTTAAGAGAAAGTACGGGTTTAAGAGACAAAACTCGCTTGGCACGACCAAAATCGATTTAAGAGAGAATTTGGCTTATTTCGGAGTTTTTCTCTTAAATCGAGCTTCTGGAGGCCACGTCACGCAGCAATCTCACACATCACACAGCTCTCAACACACACACGGCTGCAGACACCATGCCCTGCGCAGCGGGCGATCGCTGCGCTATGCCCGACAACACGCCAGGGCCGCCGAACTTCACAATTCACCCATGCAAAGGCGGTTGTGGGCAGTACCTACATGGCATCTGTGGTGTGACGGATCCGAGCAGCACGCTCGAGTTGCACCGCATCTGCCACACCTGTGCGAACTCCCGCGAGCAGTCCTCGGCGGCAGCGGCGCCACCGCCGCCGTACACTACGGTAGCAGAACACTTTTGTGAACTCGAGGATGTTGCCGAGAAGTGCGACATGTCAGAAGCGTCTTACCACCTCCGCAAGGCTAAGCTAGCTTGGATGAGTGCCCACGGGTCGAGGGCAACCAAGCAAACGTGTATTCGAGACTTTTTTTAACAGTTGTGAGTGTTGGGTTTTGTTGCGTGCAGGGGATGGGTGGATCATTCAGTGGGTTATTCAGTGGGTGGGTGGACGGATTTATTCTTGGATGCTGGTGCATCCGTGGGCTCTGGTTGTAGTTCTAGAAGAGGAATGCAGCACACCTATAACAATTACTGTTTATCCACACGCACTAAATGTGTCGCACGACACCGTGACATACTAATTTCCCGAGTTCGAGGAGAGTAAGTACACCGTGACGTGGGTCCATGTTGCTCGCCGACCAACAGATAAAGCGGTGTGTGGAACTAGCCTAAGGTGCTGACCCTAGCTGGGTTATGTATGTGACATCAATAATACGCTCTCCATGAACTCTTAAGACACAACTACAGCAGTAGTTGGCACGAGGGTGTCCATGTTCCACGATCTTACAGTTTTAGCTACGGTATAACAGAATATTCTCTTAAATCGAGATATGTTTTAAGGGAATATTCTGTTAGTCTATACCGTGTAGCTAAAACGGTATTAGAGAATGACCGATTTAAGAGAGAAATGCATGCTTGGCACGACCCTCTCTTAAACCGTAGCCGCTACTGTACTAGACTAGCCCCGTAAGCCCCAGCTACAGCAGCACCGTACTAAATAGTTGTCTCGCGTTGCACCTTGACGTCGACACTGCACCCGACGGTGGGTAGCGTGTTTCCTGGCACGCCATTCCCACCGCCGCCGTGGCAGAAGGAATGCACCAGAGTTGTCTTGCCCGCTGCCATGGGCCCGACGACCAGGACTCTTGCGTGATGAGGGTCGAAGTTCTTGCCCGCGGATGCGTCCATGGAAGCTCCGCCTCTTCTGCGCACCTATGCCGTCTCTCTCTCTCTCTCTCTCTCTCTCTCTCTCTCTCTCTCCCAGTCCCCTACTTCACAAGAGGTTGTGGTAAGGATTGGCGTGTCTCTGCTGATAAGCACCAGGAATGCGGCGGGTGGCAACAGCAGGCGCTAGATGCGAACCGAGCATGCTGTGTCTCCGGAAGATATCTGGACAACAACGGCACGGCAGCAGTGCAACATACACAATCACGAGATCACGAGGCAACAACGACTTGTCGAGATTTCACCCGGCCATCAGCAAGGAGCACGACTCGCGTTCACCTACCTCGAGAGAAAGAGAAAGCGAAAGAGAGACAGATAGAAACAAAGATGGCCCAATGCACGACTGGTGTGTGTGTACGGTGCAGAGTGCGCGCAGCAGTCCACAGCAGCAGGCAATACAGGCAGCACAGAACACCGTACCACCGAGCGCATAGCACACCCTGCCCGGCCGAACGAGAACCACACGGTTCGAAAAGAGAACCAGCGAAAAAGCGGCGGAACTGCGGACTGCGCGCCAAGCCAGCTTATACTTCTCCACGTTTACTCTGTTCAGTGCATGTATACATCATGGCGGCACGGCTGCTGCTTTCCCTCTGCACGGCCTTGATTCCAGTAACAGCCTTCACCTTTGTTTCTCCTCGGGTATTTCTGCCACCTGCGGCGGGGCGGAGGACAGCAAGCGTGGGCGGCGATGGTTGTGTGGGGATCAGGTCAGGGAACACGTCATCTGCTGCTGTAGGCTACAGCTTGTACCGTAGTACTGCTTTTGGCTCTTGGCCAATACTGGCCTACGCACAATGAGTGCAGTTGGATAGTCGCCGACGTTGCAGATTTCAGTGGGCTTAACATCCAAAATAATCCGGTAACCACTTACAAGGTTTGTCGATGGCAGGTTCTCTTCCAGCGGGTGAAGTGAGCTTTGTGCGATGCCGTATGCATATGACGCATGCTCGAACAACAAAACACAGCAACAAGAATCAGCGCAGACGCTGCTGCTGCTGCCGTCGCCGCCGCCGCTGCTGCCGTCACGACTTGCCGACTAGTAGCTCCCAGGGTTGCCTATGGCTTTTACTGTAATTTACAGCCACGTGAGGGTGTCGCTGTGCCTAGTCCACGGTCCCTCTGGTTTGAATGATAATCTAGCTCGAAATGTTGGATGTTCACCGGCAACTAAGCAGCACCTAACAACAACATTGGGCAACATTTTGTAACAACAACATTGGGTAACATCTTGAGCACTGGCCGTTGTAAGAGCGCGCCGCACCCTAGTGCTCGCGTCTGAGCACGCCTTTGGTTGCGACAATGCTGCTCGTAGGATGCCTGCCAGTCCCATGCAGCAGCTGAGCGCCTACACACTGCTTCGCCGGCCGGTCCCTGCTGAGTTACAACCTGCTGCGCTTCTATTATAGTGTGCGCCGTCACATACCCAGCCGAGAGGGGCCTCTTGGCGAACGGAGATTCCGCAGTGCAAGCCTCGACGTTGACCCCAAATTTCATTTTTTCCCACCAGCATTTGTAAACCTTGAGAGTGTGATTCGTTTGGTCGTCGTGTGCTCTCCATCGGGCGGGTATGTATCTGTGCTAATTCGAAGCCTAACCCTTGACTCGCGCGGCCTCAGGCCGAGCAGAGGGGCAGCATTGCCGTCGTCGGCGTCCATCAGGCATGGGAGCTGCAAGCGCGGAACGCATACGGCAATCAGGAGTTCGGTGGGCAGGGGGAGGAGGGGGGGGGGCTCCTTGCGGTGCGAAGGGGACGGCGGTGGCGGCGGCACAGGGGCCGCTCGCGCAGCGGCCAGCGGTACGGCCGCCCCCTCTCGAGAAGCCCCCATGTCACCGATAGGAGCGGCGACGACGCTGCTGCGACCACCGATGGCAGACGATCGGGAGGTACCACAATCCCCTCCTGATGTTTTTTTTCCTCTTCGTGACAGGGTGGGGTGGAAACTGGGTTGTGGGACGTTGCACTGAAGATTCGCACAATTGCCCCCCAAGGTGATCCGGGAACCTGCTGGCATGAAACACGCTACCCAACGCTTGGGGATTTAGTCAGAAGCCGGGAAGGCCACCCTTTGTTAACCGCCAGCTCGGCTTCTTCGCACCTACCTCGCGTTGCTCCGAAACAGCAGCCCAAATACACTTGCTATCGTTGGTTGGCGTGGTCGACGACGTCTTGGCATTGCGATCACCGCCTTCCTTTTCCTTTCCTCGTACTTCTAGTTAACCCACAAGACTGGTGTAGAATACCACGTACGGTGTAGATGCCAACACCGGTTGAGGTGTTTTTTGGGAAGATCTATATTGCAACATCCGACACATACCACGACACACCCACCCCACCGCCCGCGGGGCGAACGAACCGGCCCCGCTCGTCAATACACCGCTCAATCCACCGGCTGGATTCTGTCCGCACTAAATCGGTACTAGCGCAGTAGGTCCAGCACAACCGGTCATGTCTTGCTTTTTGCTGCTGTCGGGGTGTCCTGGACATCCTTTTCTTGCTGTTGCAATTTTGGGCTGCCTAAGGCTTTTGCTTGCCCTCTCTTGAGAGTCGATTCCTTCTCGTTCGTCTTGTCTGCCTTTGTGATTTTCAGGCAGCAGGCGCGGCAGCAAAAGGAAAGCCCGCCGTGGGAGGAGATGTGGACCTGTTCGCTCGAACCTGGGAGTCGCTGGACTTCGGCGTGGTGTTGGAGCGGCTGTCGAGGGAGTGCCGCACGGAGATGGGCCGCTCGCGGGCGCTGATACCAGATTTCAAGACCACTCTGGAGGAGGTACGTGAGAGAGAGAGACATAAATAGATACATAGATAAAAGAGACAGACAGAGACACACAGAGAGAGACACACAAAGCGAGAGAGAGAGAGAGAGAGAGAGAGAGAGAGAGAGAGAGAGAGAGAGAGAGAGAGAGAGAGAGGTGTTGGGTACGGATTTCAGACGCCTCGTCGACCAAAAGCACTGCCACAAGCCCACCTACGCCGGTGTTCTTGCGCTTCGCGGAGGCGTACGTTCGCCGTGTTTTCGCAACCTAACGCCCTCGACAAAGCCTCCAGAGCCAGCGGGCGTGGTCGGAGGCGTGGTCGATAACGTTCTTGTGACCACGGCGCCAGACTATTGAGTGGGATACCTTTCACAAGAGGAGCGAGTTCTGCTGTCAGAGCCAGGGGTGCTCCGAAGCACGTCTAGCGCCAGCTGCGCACGAGCTCCAATGACCACCGCTGAGAACTGGAGGGTGGCAGACAACGACAAAACGAAGAAATACAACCGACCGCAGGACATAGAAAGCTACAACAAACAGCAGTGTCCCATCATTGTGCTGTTGTAGGTCATCTACACCTAATTGCGTGCGCGCATTTTGATGAAAAAAAAACAAAAAAATCACGACCGAAAAGGTGCACGAGCTGTACGAGCGAGTCAACGAGGTCCTCCTGCTGGCGGGCGACGCGGTGCCGCTCCGCGCCGGCATGGCGGTGGAGCCGCAGCTCGCCATCGCCGCGGCCGGCTCGACGCTGGAGCCGACCGAGATCGCCGCGGTAGCGTCGGCCCTGGAGGGCCTGTTCGAGCTCAGGGAGTTTTTCTGCGGGGCTGTGGCCGATGCAAAGGTGGGTTCGAACGGGGAGAGGGATCCGGGTGCGAGTATTGTAGGGGGTTGCTCCATGGTTCGGCGTGACCGTGATTGTTGGCGCCGTGGTATCCTCCCCACGAAGTCGGAACAGGTTGATGCCGGATTTTCATGGCGCGGGCAAGTCCGGGGGGGCGGGGGGCAGGGGGCAGGGGGCGACGGGTTTTGTTAGCTCGTTCTCGTCGCATTTTGTGGCGCCCCACCTTTCTTGTCCTAAAACCATGGTCTTATCCCAGCGGACACACGATTAGCCATGACCCTCGAAGAATGTGGCCAGATCCAGTGGATGTCTGCAACACATCTTAGAACTAGAGGCGATACACGATCGTTTTCCCTGCGGGGTACGGACAACCGGGGGGGCGGTCCTTGTGTCACGCGTCTTCCGGTAGATTGTTCCCCCCCCCCCCCGCAAACTGCTATAGTGCGATAAATGGATCGATCTACAGTATGATCGGTCTCTCGAGCCTCTCGGGAGGGCACATGCCGCGCCTACAGCCGCTTCAGCCCGCCCGTATATACACAACTCGCTCGGAAGCGGTTCGACGCTCCTCATTCTTCACGCACCCTCGTGCCACGAACGCCGATCGACCACGCCGAGCACCGCATTTATCACAACCTCCCCCCCTCCCCCGTCCGTCTCCACTGATCCACGGCACCCCGACACGTGTTGTTGCGTCCATGACCCCCCCCCCTCTCTCTGGCTCGTAACGTGCGTGTGCGTGTGTCTCCGTTTTTTGGTTGGAACTGCGGTCCGTTTTTTGTTGAACAACTGACTGCCATAACAATAATAAAAGAGCCCCGGTGGTATGGTGGATCGGTCCGGGAAGACTCCGCGGCTCGCGGCGGTGGCGGCGGAGATTAAGCTCGACGAGGGGCTGTTGGGCTTACTGAGGGGGGCTTTCGACTCCCAGGGGGAGCTGTCGGCCCAGTAAGTGTGTGGATGAAAGTGTTTTTTTTTTTTGTCTTGCACATGAAATGGAAGATTGCAACAGGAGGTAGGCGTTGGCGGCAGGAGGGCGGGTCTCGTGGTCCAGCGGTAGCTTCTACCGACGTGTGCTTGTGGGGTGTCATCTCCTGCATGGCTCTCGTTCTCTCTAGGCGCTGCGTACGACCGGCGGCCGTTATTCCCGCGGGTTTCGTCCGGCGATATTGTCGTCGGACCCAAAATGTCTTTGGGGTAGTTTTGTTTTTCGAGAGTGCAGAAAGTTGGGGTGGTTTTGCATTGCGTTAAGGCTTCGTGCAGTGATTTACTGTGGGCGCCATCCTCGGTTGATGCACGTTGGCTCTGCCCAGCTGAAGAAACTATAATTTTAAAAATCACTTTCTTTGTCTCGCGTTCACATGCTCAGAACCGGTTTAGTCCTTCTGGGACTTGAGTGATTTTGGTACACCTACTTCTTAAAGACAACACCGAACTGCGTCATTCTGATGTAAAAATCGTGACCCCCACCCCAAAATTATCCAGTACTGAGACCTTCAGCTCTTCGATCCGGATATTAGAGGTTGCGAGGGGAGGTTAACCTGCCACCCCTTCTTCCTTTGGCTTTTTGGGATATAGCGGTAACTCGGTGCGATCAACGAATCTCGGAGTTCTGGTGACGGATTCACAATTCTCGACCCGAGTTGAGCCCATACTGAAAATTGTCAGTCCGATCAGAGCTTTTTTAAGGGGGAGAGGATATTTTCGGGGCATCTCCGCTTTCTGGCGTTTTGGAAGTTTTCCCTAGCGGAGACAGCAACCCCGTTGAAACCAAGGCACTGTAGCAACGATTTTTCCCTCTAAACCGCTAGGGGTGGTAAATTCGTAAATTCGATCCCTACGAGCAAACCCAAGAAAAATTCAGACCTTACCCGGGGATATTTCATCACCATCCCCCCCGCCGCCTAACATTCCATGACGATCAACCGTGGATGGCGCCTCTGGCACCGTGGTACTCGACCGTAAAAAATTGCAAATATTTTTCCAGCATTTGACGTTCATGCGGCGAGATTCCAAGCGTGCACAACGTCTTCCGTTCCTTTCTGAACTTCGTGCGCATCAGTACAAAGGTTTGCGCTTGCATGCACGACTATGTGCACGTTTGGAACCCCTCCCCGCCACTTCGGTGTGGTCAAAGACCTGCCAGCCAAGGCATGCAAAACATGAGTACACTCCCTCGCTCATGTTGTTTCTTTTCCCACTCTGTTTTGCTGCGGTGATTTCTGTCGGAACGCAGGCGTTTTCCGGAGATCGGGCGGCTTCGCAGCAAGGCCGACTCCCTGCGGCAAGGCATCAAGTCGACCATGAGCCGGCTCATGGCGGGAGGGGAGTTCTCCGGTATGCTGGCGGTGAGTGCCACGTCTTGTGGGGTTTGGGCGGGTGGCAGGATGGATGCTGTTTGTGATTCGAAACTCATCGCTCTCCTATCTCTCTTTTTTGTTCTCTTCATTTCGAATTAGCGCTCGCAGCATTTGTGCCGTTTGCTCCAGCCCTCTCTTGAACGTTCTTTTTTCCCGACACCTCCACTTCTCCTGTTCTCCCGCTACATGTCACGCTCCTCCTTCTCCTCCTCCTCCTCCTCCTCCTGCTGCTTCTGCTGCTGCTGCTGCTGAATTTTCCACCCCTTACCCCTTCCAATTTTGGCATCTACTACTAACGACATGATGTTTATTCTTGCGACGAAACACCACCACCACCACCAACAACAACAAAAAGGACGAGGGTCGCGAGGCGTACGTGTCGGAGATCGCCGGCCGCTTCGTCATCCCGGTTACGCCCACCTACAAGAGGACCGTGGGTATCGTGCACGACAGCTCCAGGACAGGGAAGACGCTCTACGTCGAGCCAACACAGGTAGGTGTGCGTGAGACGGACAAGCAACAGCAAGTAGATCATGAATGCGGCGCGTTTTGTGAATGATGTATTGTACTGCTTTGTGGTTTACTGTCTTTGTTCAGAGGATTGTTTGTGTTCACTCTGAGGCGAGGCAGCCAATCACCGCCACCCAACCCATCCACCTGGTCGGAATGTGCGGAATGTGCGTTGCTTGCGTGTATTATCACATGGATGGATATGCGGACTGCTGTCTTTTTTTTTTTTTTTTCCTGGCAAGGGTTCATCGAGCATGTTGTACCCCCCCGGGGGGGACCGAATCCCTGCATCCCTTCTTGGACAGTTCACTCTCGAGAATGTGTTTCTCACGTGATTATATGTGCTTCATTGTGCGTTACGGCTCTGTCACCACGGACTGCGTTCGTGCCCGTTGGACCAGTACGGACATCAGAAAGGTACCGAGCGGGGGCCGGATTGTTTATTTTTTATTGTGAAGACGACAACAACCTGCCATCCCCCGGCGGTCCGTTCACTCAGGTGGTGGGGCCGACGAACGAGCTGGTGGAGGTCAAGCTCCAGCTCAAAGTCGAGACGCAGAGGATCCTCAGCCAGATGACCCTCAAGGCAAGAAAGCATCTTCGCCGCGGCGGACTACACGGTAGACCAACGTTGTTTCGGTGTCGGTAGAGAAAAGGCAGCTGAGGTTCGGTCCGGGGGGCGTTGACAGAATGAAAGGCGGATTGCGGGAGAGGTCCAAGTTAACGAAGAGACAGGATGTGTGTTGAGGCCGGGTGGGGTCGGGATACGGAGGGTGAAGTACCTTGACACGCAGACCGAAGAGAGCAACCATCGTGTTGTTTTGAGATTTGAGTGGAAGGCGGCGAGTGGCCGCAACAGGGCACGTGCCCTCTACCGGAGGAAGGGGTAAGATCGGCCCGGCACATTCCCCTCCTCAATAGAAATGATCCGCGGCTTTTATTTCCTTTTTTTTCATCGCCATGTCGACACGGTAACTGTTATACGACAGATCGCTATCGACACGGTCACCACGACAAAGTGTTACAGTCAACGATGACCGCAATAAAAAATATGTGCAGATCGCGGAGCATGAGGACGAGATCCTCCAGTCGCTTGCCGCGGCGGCCGAGGTTGACCTCGCTCTGGCGCGTGGACGGCTCGGCGCCAAGACGGGAGGCACTATACCCAAGGTAAAGGGCAGTAGCGGTGACGGCGTTAACCGCTGTAGAGCTGCGGTGTTGTCGAGGTGCAGGTGGCTACGTGGTCTATTTCACTCGGAAGTCTTGTCGCATTTGGTCTGATTATCCTAGAGGCGTGCTTTCTTTCATCATCCTCGGTTATCTTTCTTTCTGCCACGCTTTGGTCGTCGCCGCCGTCGCTGTCGTCGTCATGCCCGGGGAAGGCTGTCTGATTCGTGTTCCATTCACATTCATTCGACCACCCTCCGGTTCGTGTCTCCCCTTAGCTTTTGACTCTTCGAAGTTCATCGGGCCTCAACCGCGTGGCGCCTCCCGGCTGTGCGTGGAGCCTTGCAGGAGGTCTTGCCCCTTTTTTCCCGCCACCGAAGCTGCGCGATTGTGTACCTTTCGCGCATTTTTTCTCGCTCCGATGACCACCCCAACACGTTGGGAACGTTGACCTCCAAACGTCTCTTGCTTGATCCGTGATCACAATATAATCTCTCGAAAACAACTATGGCGAGCGTTGGAGCTCCCAACAGCAGCAGATAACGGCATCACGCTTGGCTCTGGTCCTTGGTTTGGGTGGGGGACCCGATATGATGCGTTCTGCTCGCAGGTGATGAACGAGGGCACCATCAAGCTGGTGAACGCGCGACACCCGGTCCTGCTTCTAAGGGGAAAAGCCCCGGTCGGCAACAGCATGTCCCTCGACGCCTCCATGCAGGCGCTCATCTTGACAGGGCCCAATGCAGGTGACAAGCAAACTATTTATTTATACACATGATATGTTTTAGAAGAGAGAGCGGCAAGGTAGGGAGGATAGAGTCTTGACAGGGCCCGACGCAGGTGACAGGTAAGCTATGATTTGTTCGAGAGGGTGGAAAGTTAGGGAGGATTGAATCTTGACAAGGTCGGAACACAGGCGAGAAGCAAAACACATAATTTAGCTATGTTTTTGGAGAGACCAACAAGTGGGAGGGGAAGGGGGGGAAGAGGAAGAGCCTAGGCCAGCAGCGGTGAAGGTTCCATTGTTGCGAAAAGCTGTAAGACGAAGGGTGTGTGTGATTGTTTCCCGTTCCGGGGGCGGCGGGGAGCGGCGGGGAGCGGCGCGTGTCCGTGGACGCCTTGCTAAATCATGCGCCACCTGCCTCTTTTTCTTGCCCCCCCCCCTCTTTTACGTGCGCCGTGCAATGAACCCCACAAACAATGATTAGGCGGTAAGACGGTGGTGCTCAAGACCTTGGGGCTAGTGGCCCTGATGGCGAGGGCGGGGATACCGATCCCCGCGGCGCCGGGGGCGCGCGTGGACCTGTTCGACCCCGTTCTGGCCGACATCGGGGACCTGCAGAGCGTCACCGGCGACCTGTCGACCTTCAGCGGCCACCTCGTGGTATGCATACGTGTAGATAAAGTTAACCGGTGGGCCCTCGCGGAGGCAGTATTTTTTTTTTCGCAAGTTTTTTTGGTGGCAGGTGGTATGGATCTCGGGGCGCTTGTGTAGCTATTACGGTAGGGACCGATCGTTTTTCGGCTCGGGAGATGACAACGAAGGTTTCTTTTTGCAGAGTGTTTTTTTTTCACAGCCTTTGTGCGTTGTTCCATCTTGGAGCGCTATGCCCCCCCCCGGAAGGGCTCATTTTTCGGCTCGGGAGACCACGACGCGATTTGTTTTACTTGGCTTGAACATTAAGAAACCGCCGAAACGCCTCTGTTACCCTTATGGAAAAACACCTCTTTGGCGTGTGTGGTCGGGTTTCTCGAGGCGTTTTTTTTTTGTCGTCGCCGGCGGTGGAGGGCTTGAACGGCCTGGGTGGTGCCATGGGTTACAGCAGACGTGTCCCTCTCCGGCACCATTGTTGTATCCAACGTTGCGGTAGAACGAAGCGTAGGGCTCATCTTGCGGCTCGGGGGACACTATTGGAAGAATCCCACTCAGTGGTTGCGAAATCCAGCCTACCGAAACCCATGTGTCGGCCTTGGAAAGTCCCTTGAGGAGAACGGATTCAGTAGGATGGTTCAGCAGCACGACGGTGTTGGTCGGTGGGGGGATTTTGAACGAGCTCGGGGCGTGCTGTGCCGCGATACCCTGCGGAATGGCATTCGTCTGCTGCGACGGGAGTGTTTGGTGTTGTTTCGTGCATGTCACAAGAGCTCTTTGAACGTTTTCGAAGGTTGTTGCGCTGACGAGAGCACGCGTGAACGGCCGCGGGGGGATGGCGGAATTTTTTGTTGTTGCTGTTGCAGGTGGCGAAGGCCGTGCTGAGCGGGGCGAGGGCCGGGTCCTTGGTGCTGATGGACGAGATGGGCAGCGGTACCGACCCCATGCAGGGCGCGGCGCTGGCGCAGTCCCTCCTGGAGGTATGGAAAGCAGCAGTAACGCCGCCCCAAACGCACGCGCGCAAAAATTGTACCATTCGAGGATTGACGTCACGTGAACTTCGTCCTTCCTGGATATTTTTCGTACATTTTCCACAATGTAGTACAACCTCGGGTACTCCACACGACGAGCTAGAGGCTCAGCTTGTCGACCTACAGGGTGGGAAAGTTTTCCACTACCCTCTCTTAATTAACGCCCCGTGATCTCGGCAGTGCATGCCACCGCGGCACGCACTCTGATGAAGGCGCGGTCTTGTCGTTCTCGACGTTTTTTTTGTTTTTCGAATAGCCGTAGCGGTGAAAGTCATGGCGTTGATCGTGCGACGGTGCCCTGTAGGAGCTCGAAGTCTGGGAGGGTCGACCGTGATTCGGCCAAAGTGCCGACCAAGTTTAGAACTAGCAAGAACATTCCCGCGCGCACCCTCTGGCTCCTTTTTCTCGACCGCCGCCCGTTCCGTTGTCCGCCTTCTCTCCACCGCCACCGCCACCCCCCTACACCACGAACCACCACCACACCACCACCAACAACAACAGCAATACAATACCGACCACAGCGCAAAAAAAAAGAAAGACAACAACAGCAACACTCCCAACTATCAGCCCCATTACACGATACCCGCTGGCAGGCATCCCCCGATAAGAAAACAAGCCCTTTTTCGCAAAACAAAAACAGGCGCTGGTGGACGCCGGGTCCCGCGTGGCCCTCACGACGCACTACACCCAGCTGAAGGAGCTCGCCGCCACGGACGAGCGTTTCGGCGTGTCTGCCATGCAGTTCGTCGACGGGAGGCCCACCTACCGACTCATCAAGGGGGCGGTCGGCGAGTCATTCGCGCTTCAGGCAAGGAAGGAAGAGGCGGACATGGGGGGTGATGATGATGCATCAAATTGTCGTAGTATTGTGCGATTTTCGACGATGTTGTGAGTGTAGACGGATGGAAGAGACGGGTGATGGGTGCATCATTTAGTAGTGTTTAGTCTTGTTTCGCCTGTGCGCGATTTTTGCGACGATGGATGATGTGCGGGTGGACGAAAGGGCGGTAGCGTGGAGTCGGCGCATAGATGAGTAGGCGGGCGGTTGTGTTTCCTGTGGGTAGTGGGGTGCGAAAAAGTCGTTGATATTGTCGGCCCTCTCTTGTAGGTTACTTTTAGTCCACGGTTTCAGCACCCCTGGTTCGTGTATGTATTTCACAATGTATCTCTCGCCGTCCCTTTTCCACTCGTCCATATCCACTCTCCTTGCTCACCCCCCCCCCGTTTTTTAACCGTTTCATCTCTACCTTTGCCCTTGCGTGCGGTGTCTGTCGTTGCCCCCCCCCCGTCCCCCCCCCCTGTTTTCGTGCAGGTAGCGGAGCGCTTGGAACTCCCGGCGTTCGTCGTGGAGCGCGCCCGGGGCTTGCTAGACGACAACACCCGCCAGGTTGGCGTTAGCTCATGGTTCTTCCGCTCTGTCGGGGTTTTGTGTTGTTGTCAAGAAACCAAAATCCGTGTGTGACAGGCATAGACTAAACCCAGCCCTCTTGTTACGGCTGGCGGAGTCCTTGCCACTTCTCGTGTTTCCGTGATGGCCTGCAGCAGGGCTGAGGTAAGTATCGTCGAGGTAAAAAAATACGAAAATGCGTACCATGGTGTGCCGTACGCGGTCCTTGTTCTCACTGCCGACCGCGGTGTGTCTTTTTTCGTGTCCCGCCGCATATGATGATGGGCGTCGTCGTCGTCGTGTTCGTCGCTGCGTGTTGGAAACACAGGTGTCGGAGCTGATCAGCAAGCTGGAAGACGAGAGAAACCAGCTGCAGGACCAGCTGGACAGGGCGGCCAAACGGGAGACGGAAGTTCTGCAGCAGGTGCGGGAGGGGGAGTCGTATACGTGTAGATGGAGCAGGACTGGTGTGTGTGCGCGCGTGCCTCTCGTTTTTTTTGTTCTTCTGATGTGTGTTCTCTCATGTGTTTTTTTTCCTGTAGCAGGTGCGGGAGGGCGGGAAGTCGTTGCGTGTAGATTGAGGATGCGGGTGCCTCTCTCTCTTTTTTCTGATGTGCATTCTGTGTTTGTGTGCGCGTGTGTGTGTTTTTTGGTTGTTTTTGTCGGATGCGCAGCTGAAAAAGCTGGCCGAGGAGAGAGAGGAGGCGGCGGAGCTGCGGTCGATGGCCAAGAGAGACGCGGCAAAGGAGTACGCCGTCAAGCTCGACGCCAACGAGAAGAAGCTCAAGCAGGTGCGGTTCCAGGCCCCACGGTAGTGATAGTACACATTTTGTCTTGGCGGTACGCGCCGCGCTGCTCCCCGTGCGTCTTTTTCGAATGGCAAGGTATTCCGCACACTGTTTTTGGCGGTATAGGTGGCGTTCCGTTTGTTTCCCAGGTGGCACGGTTTTCCGGAACGCATCTTGACGCTATAGTTTCCCTGCTGCTTGCTGAGGTTGGATACGGGGAGACGCAGTTTTCTATCCCCCCTTCCAGTGCCGTATTTTGCCGTTGTACGTTCGCCGGATGGGATGAATGTTCGGTATTTCCTGTCTAGGAGAAGGCCTCCGGGGTGGAGGAGAGGCGCGGCTAAGGGCGTCTATGCGCGGCCTGCCGTGCGTTCAAGCTCGTGCGGGTCCGGCGACTTAAAACACATTACACAGCAGCGTGGCAATATTTGTTTTTCGCCAGAAAATGGTTAAGAATGAGTTGATAGTCTTCCACATGATAGATGTGCTGCTTCGCGTGCTGACGCCGTACGCATGAACTCCGTGCTCCAAGCATCACAGGGTTTATCTCTGGCGCTCTTCGCTCTGTCTTGGTCTCTGTCTCTGTCTGTCTGTCTGTCTGTCTGTCTGTCTGTCTGTCTGTCTGTCTGTCTGTCTGTCTGTCTGTCCGTCTGTCTCTCCCTCTCTCTCTCTCTCTCTCTTTCGTTCGTCCTCCGAATTTACGGTTCCTTCCAGGAGTTCGCCCGCGCGGAGGCCATGAAATTTTCACACACGTCCGTCCTCATCTCGCATGTCACTAGCCGAAGGTCTCAGTCCGGATGAGTCGCACAACCGACGCTTGTTAGCGTCGATCTCGGCTTGTTTGCTGCTGACATTGCCGTTGCCGTTGCCGTTGCTGCTGCTGCTGCTGCTGCTGCTGCTGCTGCTGCTGCTGCTCTTGTCCACGCGCCTACCCGTCTCATCAGATGTTCGACAAAGCTAGGAGCGAGCCCACGACCGACGTCATCGGGAGTAGCATAGGGGAGATCAGGTGCGGATGACGCCTTACCTCGATCATAGTTATGACGCTACTGTCGACCTTTGTGTCGGGGAGTAACGGGAGCTCGGATGGAGAAAGCGCGGTCGACTTGTGTTCAAGGATACCGCACCAGAAGACGGCCAGTGTGTAGTGGAAAACAGCGTACAACAACAGCGAGGGCTTTGAAAAGAAACAGCCAGACACAACGCACCGCCGCCACTGCCAGCACCTACGAACTCAGCATCAACGCCGTTTCGTGGGAACATCCCGGCGGCACATCGATAAACAGCAGTGGGGGTCCCTCAATAGTGCCGGCTGGAAATAGAGTGAAATCGCGTGACACCGATGACGTCTTCAATGTTGAAGTCCTATCATTCTCTGAGTAGTGTTGGGTGCCCGGTATAGTGAATGGGTGCCCGGTATAGTGCCGGGTGCCCGTTATAATGTCGGGTTACCGGGTTTGTGCCGGGTGACCGGTGTCGTGCCGTTGAATCTGGCGGTCACATTCCGGCACTACTGAGGGACCCCCCCCTGTATATTTGCACACGCGGCAGGGCTCTCAAGAAGGAGGTGCAGAAGGAGGCCGCCGTGCCGACCTACACCGCCCAGGACCTCGGCCTGACTCCCCTCAAGAAGAGGGATAGGGTGGCCAAGGGGGAAAAAGTGGTCGTGTGCGACGGGTCTTCCATCGGCTGGGAGGGAGAGGTCCTCTCGGTACGATACATATATTCTATTCTTTTATCCCACCTTTGTTTTTGAGATTGGTCACGTGTTTGTTTTTGCATGGAGTACTTCGTCGTTCGCGGTATATACTTTTTTTTGCCCCACCTTTGTATGCAGATTGGATACGTGTGTATTTGTTTTCACGGTACCTCGTTGTTCGCGGTATCATGCGTGTGAGTATGATGAGGCCGCTATTGTGCCTCTTGTATTTGCGAGCGTTCTTATATTCCCTGTTGTTTGTGTCGTTTGGCTTGCGTCTTGTCTCCGTTGGCTGTGATGTGGGGGGTTGGCAATCAATCGGGTTGTGCGTCGTTCTTGGGGGCTATGTTTCTCGTGCTACGAGGTCGCGGCTGCTCTGCCGCTATCATTTTACGGCACACTCTCTTGACTGCCTTCAATCCTGTTAGTCTTGAGGCAGCGGTTTTGGATCGTCGATTTGTCGGTGACATGCACAAACGGTTGCTTGGTATAAATTCTCTCTGTGCGCGTAGCAGGACGCGTTTCGATGCGAGCTGCTTCGCTCTCCCTTCGATATATAATCACGCCAAATGTTTCGCATTATGTCCTTTCGAGAAATTCCCCGCTCCTCCTCCCTCATCTTCCACGCTGCCTCGACCCCCCCCCCCCCCCCCCTCGATGCGCACCTTTTCGCCGAACAACCGTCCGTCGTGCGCCGCTGTCCATTGCTTTTGTGCTCGTATCTCGCACGGAAACGTAATCAAAAAAAAAAAAAAAGACGTCCAATCGCGACGTGGAGGTGTTCTTGCCGTCGGCAGAGGCGTCCATGCGTTTCGCCTTTTCTCAGCTGAGCCGGCTACCTCCCGGGGGTGTGAAGTGGCCGGCCCAGTCGCCTTCAGGGGGCAGCCTCGCGAAGAAGCGGTACCCCGGAGGCATCGTCGGGCCTTCGGGTGGCGCCGCTGCTGCTGTGAGTGTCACGCCCGCTCGCTGTCGTTGTTGCTTTGTTTGCTGCTGAGGACTGTTGTTGTTGCTTGGGGCTGGTATTTGTTGTTGTGTTTGGGTCGAACGAGCAAATACCGCCATTGAGGTCGGATATTCGCCACGCCGCCTCCGACCCTACCGCCGACGCCACCTCACCTGAGGCTTGACCTGCTGGTGACCGCGACGAACGGAGTGCTTTTGCTTTTTTTCGGTATTTTTTTGTAGAGGCGTTGCTTCTGTGGTTGGTGCGTATTGTGGGTGCTGCAGCAGCTCACGTGCGCGCTGCTCAGCTGCAGCCTGTGGCCTCAGGGTCTCTTGCTGTCTTTGGGAGTAGATTGCCTTCGGCTGAGACGGCGATGGCGGCAGTCGCCTATAATAGGCGGCCGATTTTCCCTTTCGCTCACGGCGCTCGAACCGCCTACAAAGAGCGAACAGATGCTGTGAACCTACGCCCCGCCGGTCGCTGTTCTCCCCCCCAGCACCACAAATGAGTATCGAAGTACGGTATCGGAGACCCTCTTTTGACGACAATCGCCGCCCCCTCGTTACCGCTTTCCCACGGAACATCCTGTAGGACACGCCGCGGAGGAAGACGGGTACGTCGAGGAGAGTGGCGCAGTACCTCGAGGATGACGTGGGGAGCTTCAGCAGCGGCGACGGCGACGACAACAACAAGCGAAAAAAGAAGCGTTCGGGGGACAACTACTTCATGAGGTACGTGCATACTTTCGTTTTTTTTCCTCGGCTGCTCATCATCGCGCAAAGCCAGTTCGGCCGCTCTCGACGACGCGCTTGAGCAGTCAACCCAAATCGGTGTCTCAACCACCACAATCTCCAAACACCCGGGACTACGCTGTATTTTCTACGCCGTCACTTTTTGCAAGTATATATACATTCAAACACGGCAAGAGATACAGTAGTCGAAGCGGATGTGTTGAAGTATTTATTGTTAGTGGGAGAAAAACAGCCCGATACTTGGCTTACTTTTGAGTCTGTTTTGAGCCTACAAGGAATAATTCCAGTGATATCTTGCTCTTCACGCACCCAAGTTTGAAAAATGAAGCTTATTCGAGCGCGCTGCGCGTGTCAGGGAGTAGATGAAGGCGCGATGCGTGCCCCGGTCCTCGAGATGGACGGGTACCTGCGGCCAGAAGTGTGAAATTCGAACCTCCGCGGGCAAGCTAGCACGCCTCCGACGTGTCGGTTGGAAACCCACGCGTTGGTAACCGGTGAAACAAGCATAGTTGTTCGAACACTGGTATCCGTTGGAAATCGCCTTGGTTCATCCTTGTGAAACGTATCCTGCGCGGGTAAAAACCCGGCCTAGCTCGTAGGGGATGCGAGGTGAATGGTCTAACCACTAAGGCTATGTAAAACATGAGTACCCCCCCCCTATTCCTGTCCGACGACCCCCCCCTCCTGCCAGGACGGAGCGGAATACCTTGGATCTCCGAGGCATGACCCTCTCCGAGGCGCAGGGCGATTGCGACATGTTCTTCAGCAATGGGATCATGGATGGCTCGGACGGCGTCTACCTGCTCCACGGACACGGCACGGGGGTGCTCAAGGCAGGGATTCGACGAGTGAGAACCTATTTATTTTCGTGCTGCGAATGGGGGGGGCGAGTGCTCATTTTGTTTGCTTGGCTTTCAAGGACTTGGCCGTTGACCACCGCTTATCTCTTGCGACACGGAGCACTCACAGTTCTCTTCTCATAGAATCGACGCGAAAGCATCCATCCAACACGCGGCACAGGCAGATAGTTTGGTACTCCGCATGTGCTATATGCTCTCCAGTTCTAGGTGTGGACACCCGGCTAATTTTTGCACGGATACTGCTGTGCCGACACGCCAGCGAACGTTAGGTTTCTGTCGGCATGCCGAACCCCCTTTCCGCAGACGTTGTGGTGTACTGTACGGGTTTAAATTAAAGCACCCGATGATGACTGCGGGGTTGACTCTTGCGCTTGTTTCTTTTCGCCCCATCTAGACCATGTTGGGCACCAGTCTCCATCTGTGCCAGCCTGGGTCACACAGAACATTCTCCACTGTTCCCCCTGCGGCTGTTGCCTCCCGTTTTGTTTAGAACGGTTCACGAATCCCTTCCCTCTGTGCGGTGCGTACTCACGGCGATGCGCGTTTCAATTTGTGAATTGTGGATCTTTTTCGAAGTTCTCCAGAGAGATTCGAACCCACAGCCTAGGACCGGCAAGCTTACCAATTGAACCCACTCAACCACTGTCGTGTGGCCGAGCTCTGCCGCGTGAAGAGCGAGACGCAGGCACTCGGGAGAGGGCGGGGCGGAACATGCATCCGTCTTTTCGTAGTCCCTTGGGCACTTGAACAAGTCACAAGCCCGAAGTATGACCTTGCGTGTATTGGCAGGCAGCTTACTTTTACCCCCTCCCTCAGCTCACTTTTGTTGTAGCAGAAGGGTTACAGTGTGATACTCGTCGAACGCCGTAACAGTGAATGCGCGCAGGAATAGGCAACTTCGCAACTTCGTATCTTCCGATCGCAGCACTGCATTCACCAGGCTGCGAGGGGGCGTTGTTGGAAGGATGGGTCACAGAGTGACTCGTGTCCGAACACCTTTCTCACTATGTTGGGAAGTACATGCAGCAGATAGCTTGTTTTGCGATAGCCCAGGGTCGACTCCTCAGTAGAGGAAGCTAGAGCCGTACCGCAAGTGGTAGATCGGCGAGGGAAGAGTGAGATGGGGAATGTTGAGAAATGAAAATCGTCTGTGTCCGGGGAATCCCCACCACCGACGACGCCCTGCAGCGGTAACAAAAGCGCGGTGATTACGCTCCAAATTTTCGCCACACACCAAAAACTTACGCCGCCACGTTCAACACCCCAAGCGATCGCCAACAACCATTCTTCCATACCCGAACGAAACCTACCACCGGCTGACCAATTCTTGACGTCGCAGTGGCTGCCGAGGAACTCCATGGTGGCCAAGTGGCGACCGGCGTCGCAGGAGGATGGGGGCGACGCCTACACGGTTGTCGAGCTCAAGTAACATGAGCGCCGAGCCAACGGTGGGAAGGAAAGACTCCACTACTACCTTGCCGCCACCCACCGCCGCTGCCGCTGCTACCAATATCGTTCGAGACAGGCGCCACCACCTCTTTGTTGGGTCTTGCTTTGTCTCGCAACGTGGAGAGGATGCCCCTCGATATTTTCACTCGATTTTGGTCTTGTGTTGTCGAATGGTTCATGCGTGTGTGGAACGTTGAATCAAACGGCATAGCAGGGTTGGGGGCCGTTTCGGTACCGATGCTTGCGGCGAGGGGTGCGCGGGGGGGTGGGGGGGTGCACACCGACCTGCTCGCCTGCGCGGGGGAGGTGCGCTGGCTGCTGTTGTTGGAGATCGGGGCCGAGAAGCCACTCGTATTCCTGCCGCGTGTCGTGTGCTTGTGACTGCATGATGTGTGTGGCTATAGAACAGAATGTCGCCGTGCGTGTGGTGCCAAGTGATTTTTGTGATCCGCCAACGTCGTCTAATTTGAGGATGAGCGCGCACGCGCACCACAATCCTCTTGACTCTGCGTGCTTTCCGTTTCTGCAAGCTCTATGTCCTCCGCCTCCGCTGTTAAAAAGTATTTTCATTTCCGACGAAGCACGGTCTCCTTCGGACCTCCTGCGTACACAGAGCCACCAAAGAGCCCACTGTTTAACCGCGCGCTGCAGCTGTAAAGGTTACGCATAGGTTCATCTGCAGCCAGGTTTACAAGTTCTTGCCTTGGCGTTTGACTACGTAGCACTCGAGATGCTCTTGCTTATGTACATAAGTGGTCATCGCTGCACGCACGTTCTGCTCACGCGACATGCTGCGGCGAGACCGCACGCATCAACGTGACACGAAACGGACACATTCTTTCGACACCAGCCAACAATACCTCTTTCGAGCCCCGATGCCAGACTGTCATCAGCATGCACAGACCAACATCCCAAGAGAACGAGATCGCACATGTCTACACTTCGGAATTACTGGGGGCTTCCGGGACACCTTCCTCCACAGCTGCTCCTCACTAGTATGACCGGCTACACAAACCTGTAGGGGGTACCCGCACTCCAACTTGTTACTACACCTCTATTCAGATACACCCTTCGTGTTGTTGATAAGCCAAGCGTGCTTGCCGCCAAACGCAGGGAAGGACGAGCGTGAAAACAGCGACACGCACGCCTTAGACAACCTCACGAAACAGCGAAACGTTACTTCGTAGGCCATGTGTTGCCGGAAACAGAGGGGCACGTATTCCGCAGTACCGTACACAGTCAGCGACACGAGCAACACCCGAACACGTCCCGCCACAACTCCACACTCCTGACTAGGCAAAGCGCACCTCATATCTTCTTCGCAAAGCTCTGCCTCCTTACGGGACAATGCCGTGCTGCCGCGTCAAGTCGTGGAACACCACCATGGCGTGATCGTACAGCAGGATCGCCAGCCGGAGGTACGGCTTGATCTCCTCCGACAGCAAGGCGTGCCGCGGGGCCGTGCTCTGCTCCGTGTCGGGCGCCTCGTTCTTGTTGGCGACGCCGAGCTTGCGGTACGTGGCGGCCCACCTGGTCCCAGGGGTCACCCCGGCGCGATCGAAGAGCGCCATCTTTGAGTCAAACTCCTCCACCACGCCGACCGCCTTGGAGTTATCCCGGAGGAGCTTCTGCACCGGACCGATCCAGGCGGACAGCGCCGCTTAGTTGTTGAACGGGCATCCACCAGCGCCAGCGCAGTCTCGCTCGCTGTTCTCGCCGGCGTGTTGTCGCAGGTAGCTCTTCAGGAGAAACCAAGACGGGACGTCCTAGAGGGGGACGCCGTCTAGAGCAGCTGGCCGCTCTTCGCGGACAGACTCGCCTACGTATCGCATTACATCATCCGCGGGGACCAGACCCATCACGAACTGACGCAACCCGTAGTTTCCCCAGAACCTCGGCCGAGCTCACCACGCTCGACGCGTGCAGCGGGTCCCAGCTGTGCCTCGGATTCCGGCAGTAGTAGTACGCCGAAACGACCCTGTTCGCCGGATGTCTGGACACGGTGAAGTACTGGCAACTCTCGGCCACGCCGGGGGAGCGCCGCAGGGCCTCCACGTAGCCCCCCGTAGCGATCCTGTACCTTTGTTCGTCCAGCAGGTTCGGCACGTACACGCCCTCGATGAGGGCGTGTCCCTGTCTCCACTCATCGGTGCCGTAGCCGACAATGTTACCCCCTCCATCTAGATCGCCTTTCGGCGGGTGCATGATCTTCCGGATCGTCATGCCCCCCGACTTGTGAAGGTGGTGGAAGACCCGGCAATCGAGGCCGCGAGGTGATCCCCCCGCAGCATCACGCGTCGACCATGACCCAGGATACGGTCTTACCCTCGACGCAACGACGGAGGCGAGTCCGAGAACGAGCGCCAGGAACGAGAGGCAGGGCACAAGGAGTGGCGAGCGAAGTAGTAGCGCCGCCATCCTCCACCTCCACTCCCCATCGCCGGCAGAGTCGCCACAAAAACGCGGAAGAAGCGCGTCGAGTAGCCGCAATGGCTTGGCCGAATCCTTCGCGAAGGCTGCGCATCCGTATCCGTTCGTCCCGGGCCTCGCCTACTCCCGGCTCATCATCGGCGTTATCGCCCTCTTGTCCACCCCCGCGCTTCTCTGTCTGATACTTGTGCCCTTCCTTCGTCGTCAACGTTTCGGGAACTGCCCGTATTCCCTACTCCAGCTTGCCTTCTCAACGCACCTATTGTTTCTACCACCCCCCCTCTCTGAAAATCACATTGTTGCCCCCACAATTCGACACTGCTGCTGCTGTGTGGTAAACGAGCCAACTGGCAAATGGTAACAACGCACGAGCCTACTGCAGGTACGTGCCAATCAGTAGACTACAACACAGCTTGTACGCTAGGGCAGCCTGAGCATCAGCGTTTGTAACCCCCCCAACAATCCGAACCATCTGGGCCGACGGCTGCTTTTCTTCGATCCCCTTGCGCAATAAAATAAACTCCACATTGAGAAGTGAGGCTGGGTCCGACGCTGGCTGATTCCTGCCGGGGGATATTCCCAGGTAGTGCATGGCAACAGCAAGCTGCGATCGCCAGCATCAGGAGAGCCAGCTGATCTGAACTGGTATCTGTACATACCTATCAAGAAACAGACCCAAAGGTGGATACGGCCAAGGATGCGAAGTGGCCCTCACCTCCCAAATACGTTCCCACCGTAGACTGGTGATTACCAGCAAAGCTGGTCAAGCCCTGTGTGCACTCCAGCCCAACACCAGGGCAAATCACGGCACACCTATCGAGACTGTCAACTTCGCGCCGCCCCCCCAAACATGCCTCTCCTCGACAAAATCCCGCCGCACATTTCACATTTCACAACTCACATTTCACATTTCACATTTCACATTTCACATTTCACATTTCACATCCCCAACACAACACAACAACTGTCATCTGCCGTAGCGTGCACAACAAAGGCACACATATCGCCCCATACAGAACGCAATCGACAACAACCAGCTACATCTTGCAATGCAAACCCGCAGGGTGAGTGCCGCGTGAGTATATCGTCATGGTTACATAAATACAGTATTCTACACGAAGAGACATGACTCTGGTGCCTCGAGCGCGGGCAAGTGTCCATCGGCGTCTCCGGCAATGTCTACTCGTATGTAGATGGCGTCTTTGCGTTGTTCTAGGCGTGGATCTGCTAGCTCATCTCTGCTGCTATCGTATCTACCGTACGCTTGCGAATAGTGCAAGATCCAGAAGAATCGTGCGAACCAGAAGTTCAAGGTCGTCTAACGCCTGCTGCGGTGCGCGGGTGTTGATGGATGGTACTGATTTGGCCTGAATCGGGCCCGAAATGTGGACGCCACCATGCACCATTGAAAACTGTTCAAGTGGGGCCGACATCGGCATAACTGTGGGATTAGCCGTGCCAGCCATTTTTACCCGCAATCGTATGGGCGGCGCCTGGCACTGCTGGTCAGTCAGTCGGATTTTCATTTAATTTTCGAGCGGAAACAGGATCCCCGTTGTTGCTACATAGGCTTCAAGCACAATTTTGTACCATGCCCTTCCTGCCAGAAACATATTTCATGAAGACAAAAAACCCGTTTTGATCTCACCTCAGTTCCGTCGATTATCTGACTGCCCAAACTGACGCGGACTCCCCACACTTCATACAGACCGACGGACGTTGTACATGGGGGCTGGATTTTTTGTGTCTCAGGGTTGTAGGTCGCCATCATTGCTCAGGTACCGGAGGTTTCGCCACGTCTTCCAGCGAATGATGACCATGTCGAAGAAAATCGAACGTTCTCACGTAACTTATTCGCCGTAAATGCCTTTGAATAGGAATGAGTTGTGCTCCTCGCCGTGTCCCCTTGCTGCCAACAACGCAGACTACGTAGTCTACACCATTTCCAGTTCTCGTTCCCACGCATAACCGTCCTTTTTCTGCCGTCCTGTATTAAGGAAAAATAAATACACGCACAGAAAGACTATCGTCCTGTATTGTTCTAGCTCTGTGATGTGCCCATGCCAACCATCTTCAAGGGCGGGCCGAGATCTTCAACGCGGGGGAGGAGGGGACGTGAAAACGCCGGCCGGTGACGTAAGCCGGAATAGGAACCGGCATGAAAGTTTCACGTGGTTCCGACATCCGGAATTGCCGGATTACGCACCTTACAGTCACCCAAATAGATTTTAAATTCCGCGCAAGCGGCCATGTGGACGGTTTCCCATTGGAGGCAACGTGAAGAGTTCAAGCGGGCTACAGTTCTGTTCTCGAGAAGTCGCCGACGTGATTGGAAGTTTTTTCCGAACGGCAGCTGTTGCGTGGAGGCCGGCCGCAAGCCTCCGGCGATTATGGGCTTGTTGAACAATACCCGATATGTGATCGTTGAGGAGAGATTGCTCTTATCCCCCGGTGACTGATGACTAACTCCTCCCCAGGGTCTCGTTAGTTACCCCCCCCTGGAGCACCCAAAACTCGAGGTTTGCCTCAAAAAGCCCATCGCCGGCGGGTATGTGCTTGCCTCGTTGAAACAGCGTAACGGCGGTAGTTGCGTATCTGTCGATCAAAGACCGGGTTGATGTGGGCTGCTGTCGTGCGGCGCATATCGTCGGGGGTCGGTATGCAGCCTTAGTCGAAGAGGTGTCTGCGGAGCTCCTTCAATTGTTCGGTCGGCCGGTACATTCCTGAGCATAAATCATTGGGCCAAAACTCTTCGCCGGAGTTTGCTGCACCCGATGGCAGAGCGCTGTGTCAACCGCGTGGATAGATAACTCTCGATAACATGGCCATTTAACACCTATCTTGGAGTCGGGTACTCCCCAAGCAGTGAGGGAGGCTTGCGGTCAAGCTACCAACACCACCAAGCACGGCCTCCGAAGCACATGCTCGTTTCCCAGCCGAATTCTTCGTCAAACGTCAGGTTTCATCGAAAGGTGCTTGCATTTACGAGCAAGTTTGTGAATTGTGAATCACATTCCCGTCTCTATCCGAAGTTTTCAACCCAAAAATGGAACACTCTATAAAGCATTGCAGCAACCAAGACGTACATTCACATAAAAAAAAACAGAGGTAAAACACACACGGCTTCACAGAAGGCCGGCAGCGTCACAACCGAAGATGTACAAACGCTACGCTACAATGTTGCTGCTTTTGCTGTTGCCAACAAGAAGTACGCTATGTGAGGGTGAGTTTCGTGTGCTGGAAGCGAGCGGGGCGTGAGGAGTAAAACGGCCGCTTCCCCTCCTACAGCAGAGCACTCCTGTTCACTTGGCCGCTTCTCGGGCGGCTTCCTCCATCGCCGCCTCAAAGTCTCGCGTGGACCACGCCTCCGCGGTCGTCCTCCGATCCCCGGCCCCCGCCGGCATTCCAGAGAAGAACGCATCCGCCTTGAAAGCGGAGAACCGAGGCTCATCCAGGGCCATCGCCGCGTCCCCGACATCCTAAACTCGGGCAAGGAAACGCGTTAACGGCAGCAACCGGGGTTGCAGCAGTACAGCATCGCGCCCGGTGTCTTGCCGCCATGACTGTCGGTGAGGAAACATGGCTACGGCCTCATCAAGGGGCAAAGCAAACAGCTGTATTTTCGGAGCGGTTGCGTAGAGCGGGCACGTGCGACCCGAAGCGCACACTGCGCAATCGTCTACCTGGAGGTCATCTAACAGAGAGAGCGCAAAAACGCAGCGGGAATTGTGCCGCTGCTGCTCATGGCATCGCCGGCCACGGCGAGCGGATACACGTGCTGGGGGGAACATTGACGCAAGAAAACAAATCCTTGAAGAACCACCGGGGACAATGTTGTCAGAAAAAGAGGTAGATGCCCCAAAGGGCAGGAACGCGAAGGGTTTGCAAGGTAAAAAACGGCGCAACTGAACGAGAGGCACCGACAAAGCAAAGAGGCAGGAAACCTCAGCGGTTTTGAAGATCCATACCTCCGTCCTGTGCCCTGCTCTTTCCCTCGTTTCGTTTTCTGTGGATGTCCCCTTCCCCTCCCCGACACACGATGCCTTGGTCATCGGTGATTTTTTCTCCACATGATGCCCGCGTGCTCTCACCTTGTTGATGGTGGCGACCAGTTCCGGGAACGACGCGAACTTCTTTTCTCTCCGCTGGAAACCCGCCAGCAACATCCTCATGGTCCTGCCGTAGAAATCCTCGCCTGCAGAAAAAAAAAACGTCGACAAGAGACTCTGAGAAAACCAGTCCAAGACGCCTTTGAATCGGCAACTTACCAGCAAGAAACGGACAAAAAACGCAGCAGCTTGACGTCGGAAACATAACAAAGGCAAGATTACAGACAACGACGAGGCTACAACACGCGCACCTTCGTATCCGATGAGGTGGCCCTCCACAATCTTCTCCGCGTTCTCCTGGCCGGCGAAGGTCGGTGAGTACCCGACGTTGGCAACGCACTTCCAAAGACCCTCCCCGCCGTCGCCACCGCCGCCGCTCGCATCGCCCTTACCTCCTTCTCCCTCTTTGTTCGCGGCACCCTCGAGAGCGGCCCAGCCGAAGTACACACCTTTTGGGAAAACCGAGCCAGGAATAATTGCCGGTGTGCCCAACTGATTGTAGAGCGAACAGTCGTAGCGGCAATAGAACATGGCCCTCACGACAATTCTTTCAGGACCGGAGTGAACAACACGGCAAAGATCCAGATAGTCCAGCGTGCAACAAATAAAAAACATACCCATCGCCCGGCAGCCCGCAAGAACTTCATCTACATAGGGACACAGAAGCCTCTACTTTATTGCTGATCGAAGCGTTCGTGAAACAACGATGTTGTAGGCTTGGTGGCTCCGCCATCAACAACTGCGGTTGTCGATGGTCCATCGCCGGACAGCCCGCAAAGTTCACCAGGGGACATTGCACGAAAGGAAGGGGGCATGTCCTCAAGATAAAACCCAGCGCACCCATCTCAACACCATCGCTTGCCTACCAACCGCGAAAACACAAAAAAAAATCGCTCGCACGGGTGCCGCGAACAAAAATCAACACATCCGTCATGAATCAAGAATAAACAGCGCGGCCGGCCGGCCTCCCTTTCGCAACCCACACCGGTCGGTCTTCTCGGCATCATCACCCACCAGTGGGCAGAGTCCGGAGGTTCTCCGCGAACTGGGACTCGGGTAGGTTCGCCGTCGGCACTCCTAGCTTCTTGCTGCCACGCCCGTACCCCGTGGATACCTGCCGTCATTGTGGCCGTCAGCCCCCCCCCAAAAAAAAAGGAACAGGACACAAATGCAAAAAGAACAAAGAAAACTTCGGGCGCAGGGAGGGAGGGAGACACACAAGCCTGTGCGCGGCTGGTCCCCGACACAGACGAACGCCGCCAAAGGGTGAATGAAACCCAGCGCAGTTTTGTTTCGGAGGGACAAAATTAACAAGTTTTTCAAACCGTTGTATATCATAATTGCGTCCCCAAAACCACAACCAAAATAATACCCGACACAAACCGCACCCAACACTTACGTACAGCAGTACGGAAACGAGGGGATGTTTCATCGAGACCTACCTACGCAGCAACTTTGCATGAAACCCGACACAATTAACTGTTTAACGAGTGCGCTTGCCATGTTCCTTCTCTTCGCCAACCCGCTCGCTGTCTCTGGAAAAAAATAGTGGGCAAAAGCCCTAGCTTGGGCGCCAACTCCCCCGAGCGATGCCATTCGACAACGGGGAGTTCCGAAAAAAAGTAGTAGAAGAGAATGGCGGGACGCCAGGCCTCGATACACTTGTGAGAGATGGGCGGACTCGCAAGCCGCCTGACGACGACGACGATTTCGTGGCAGGAAGGGAAGGGCAGAAGAGCAAGCCCGACGCGCGATGTCGCGAGCCAACAACAGCAGCAGCGACTCTACTACCAAAGTGACACCACCACGAACGGCAGCACTGACTCCACTATTATACCACGTGGTACAAGAACAGAACTAATGCTGACTCTACCTATCACCAAGAACAGCAACAACCTAGCCGTCGCCGTCGCTGGTGGCTGTTTGGTAACGTGTGGTGAGCACCCCGGGGATCTATCTCACCGTCCCTCTCAGGTACCGCACCCTCCCCGACGCCCTGTGCGGCGTCTTCCTCAGTACGGCGAGGTAGAGCTCCGGCCCGGACTCGAACGAATCGATCACCAAGGGCAGGAACTGTCCAACAGTCCCGTCACCGAGTTATATATTTCGCCGATCCGATGCCATCGTTCGTGTGCGGTTGTCAACATCGTGAACGCACGCGACGGGGGGTGCATGCCTTCAGCGGTTGGACCATTGACTACGCGTCTTTAAGAGGGAAGGGGCCTTGTTCTCACAGGACCGATCACCGATGGCCAATCGCTCCTTTCTACTTTGCCAAAGGCGGCTCGAATTTTTTTCCTAGTTTATCTGTATCACTTCCCGCCTTTGCATCCCACTTCTTATATCCCAGGGAGGGATCGACGGACAGGCCCCCTCTGCTGCGACGAGCATCACGTCGTTTGCTCGTGCTATTTTCGCAGCCCTCAAAACCCTACAACCCTTGATCGGGCGAGGGTACACGGTCCTTGGTCAAGGCCAGCGCCGTAGGCATGTGAGGGGGGACGTCACTTGCTTGTCAAAAGTCTGCCGCGGGGAGAAGCTAGCGCTCGTTCATGACCGCTTCGAACAACTTATAAACACCCGTGCGATGCGCGCACACACACGTGACGGGTAACGGCCACATGCGGCACGAGGCCATACAAGCCCACGACACAGCCTTGCCGGTCGCCCATTGCAGGCAAAGACACCAAGTCACAACCCCAGTCCGCGCGTGCACCACATGGCAGATATCCGCCTCACCAAGGGCCACAACGGGGCGCACAACAATAAAAATCATCAAACAGGAACATAACTACTTACTCGGCAACCTCAAACCGGAGTCCCCATTAATTCCATGACCGGCGAACGCTCGTCAAGCACCAATCACACAAACCATACCGAACTCGTTGTGCGGGGTTTTAGGCGTAGTGTTTAGAACTCTCCCACCTGCACCAAGCGTTCCAGAGCGTCTCGCTCCGGCAGCTCGTGCGGAACAACCGTGTCGTCGACAGCCTTGAGTCGGCTCACAAAGTCCCGCCCCAGCGGGTGAGATATCACGACCTTTCCCCCTTCCTATATTCGATTTTGTTGGCGGCGCGTTGTGCGCGAGAGGGTTTTTCAAGAAGGCAAAACGCAAAGGGGAAAGGGGAAGAAGCGCGCGGGGAGTGGATTGCGCTGATGCTGAGGGTTTACGGTTCCAGATGACTCTGTCGTTGTGGTCGTGGTGTCCAAGCAGCGTTGACCGTTGCGAAGTGCACGAACTCAAGCGCTAAAACAACCAAAACATCAACGGAGAGGAGAGCCGAGATTCACTGGTGAAACGCAACACACATGGCGGGCAATATCAAGGGTGACGGTCGCAGAAGACCGGAGATCGGTGCGCAAACCGGGGTCGCGCCAACTTTCTCGGACCGCCCCGCATTGGGCACAAGAGGAGGGGCAGCCGACAAAAGACACGGTACGATACTATCGCCGTAAACACCGCATACCGCCACACTTTCCAACCTTAAAGCACCTCAAGAATGTTCGCGGCTCGCTCAAGCGCCGCTCCCTGGTCCCAAAGGTTGCCGAACACCGCGTTGAACACCACCGTCCCCACGCCTCCGGCCTCCTCTTCCTCGTCGGCCGCCTTCGCTGCACCCTTGGCGCCTTCTCCGCCCGCTTCGCCGGCCTTAGCCGCGGCGGCGCCGTCGCCGGCAGCGGCGACGGCGGACAGCCGTTCCCGAAGAGATACGAACTCGTCAGCGTAGTTAACGAACTCGGCGGTGATGATCTCCGATTCCGGGAACCGGTCCTTGAAGACGGTGCCCATCTGTGCATCTCGGATGAGGGCGACAGTGTGTCGCGTGCGGCGGCGGCGGCGGCGGCGTCGTTGTTGGTGTGAGCGTGCGAACAGTGTGTGTTGGGCGGCCGGCGGTTCGTGCCCAGCAAGAAAGAGAGAGAGTCGGGGTGGGGGGGTGGGGGGTGGGTGCACAAGCGGACCAGCGAGAGAGGGAAGGGGGGGCGCACACAGACATATAGACGGAGAGGCAGGGCTGGGATAAGCTCACACGTACCGCACCAGACTCACATGTTGTCCATGCGGGGACAACCACAAAGCGCGCTTCAAAGAGCACGCCACACGCGCCGACCGGCACAAAAAAGCCAACCTCAGCACAAATGAGCTGCCAATCGCCAGGTGAACCTCGGCTTGCGCCTTGCGTGCAACTCTAAGCCACCCCTGGAGGGCCGATTATTATCGTCGGCGTAGGCCTCTTCTTGGCGGTGCAAGAGGTCAAGCGGGGGCATAGACTTTCCGCCCCCAACACAACGAAAACGAAGTGAGGTCAATTCAGCGTTCATACCCTGCCGCTCCTTTTCGGTCGGTCTTTGCGAGCGGTGCTTTTCCTAAGGCTACGATCACAAGAGGAGCCCCCCCCAAAAAACAAACTTCCGCATGCTACGTCAGTGTGTGTGTGTGTGTGTGTGTGTGTGTTTCCACCCTATGTATTATGGCCACAGTCCCCTCCTGTTTCGTGGTGAGACGTGAACTACACTTTTCAGTGTATTTTTTCGTACAACAACAACCATCCAGGGTCACACAGGAGGGGAGGGTTTCGTTCTTCTTTTAAAAATTTTTCGTGCCCCACCTTCCTCCTGCGGTGCGCGCTGAATATTATTCTTATCGGGAGAAGGGTCCAGCCGTCCCTTTCCCTCGTCAACGGTGCTAACGTCGAAGTTTGGTACTCACGAGAGCTTTTCAGCAATAGTTCGCTTTCACCCGCAACTTTTTTGAATTTTTCACCCCATGAAGATTCGAACTCATGACCTTTGCGACTATAATAGCGGTTTTCGAGGTACCACTAGACCACCGGGCCGACTAGTACGATGCGAAAAAGCGGCGTACGCCATGTGTGACACGCGCGAGTGTCAGAATACCCGTCGCGTGACGGCGGCCTACAAAAAATCGTACCTCCGGAGACACGTCTACCCCTGTAACGTCCCTCTCCTTCACGCCGGCTTCCTTCAGGAAAGAGACCAGGGCCCCGGTCCCGCACCCGGCGTCCACCACCCGCGGGGCCCCCTCCGCGCTAGGGCGGCACGCCTCCGCAATGCGCCGCAACGACGGAAATTGCTGAAACATAGAGATATATTTCGGGGACCAAGAAAGAGGCGTACATGGTTGACACGGTTCAGTTGTGTGGTGAAGAATCGAGAAGGGCTGTTAAAGAAAGCGAAGGGAAGTGATGCAGCGCGAAGACCCCTATTGTAGCAAGTGCATGCACCAGCGAGGGCTTTGCGGTAAAACCAGGAGTAAAAAACTTAGGTCCTATGAATATTCATGTGATGGTCTTCCCCGGGAAAATTCTCCCCCCCCAGGCGCACCCTCTCACCGTCCCTCTGAATTGACAGCCAACAGGTTAAGCATTGGCGCATCCAAGGTTTCGTCTCAACCTCCCTCTCTTGAAGACCGGCCGACTAGATTTCAGCGGTAGCCACGTTCCACCGCTCACGCCGGGACAAGATGTCGGCGTTCTACCGTAATCTCACACCACGGGGAAAAAAAACGACGTCAAACTCAACTGGGGGCGGCAGAAGGAGCCACTGGGGAAACGCCTCGAAGCGGTGTGCAAACGAACTACTCCGCAGTAAGTACCGCGGAGACAATGGAAAAGAGCATGCGCCCAACGGCGAATCTCACCTCTTTTGGAGTCGCCTGCGGCGAAGAAAAGAACGCCACCTTTGAGTCGAACACCGCCGCCTGTCGTCGGTTGTGCGCCTCTCTGGGCAGAACCAGCACAGAAAACCCGATCGTCAAGGGGATATATGGGAATGGCGGGCACAAGGGAACGCGATTGGCGGGGTGAACGGAAAGGATCAGCCACGTGCTACGGCGACATACCTTGGAGAATCATTCCCTCGCTTGACGGGTCTCTACGTGTGGTCGCCGCTATTTGGCGCACATATGCTGTGCGCCCATAGTTCTACTGGGCTGACCCGCGACGGGTAGGGCCGACGAGCTATTATCGCGCGTCGGCGCAGTAGCGATCAGGGCTATCAAATGTTACTCCACGCGAGGAGTACCAATAACGGGCACATGGTTGTTTTGTCAATAGCTTAAGCCATTTCGTGCGCGTTCATCCATGACGTTAATATCCTGGTGCACAGCAGTACTTAAGGTCGTTCGGGCTTTGAACCTAACTAGTCAAGCCGGGGAATACCGCCAGGGCGGTGGAAGCTAAATAGATAAATAGATGTCGACAGCAGTCACCCCCCCACCCCCACGACACAACCTGGAAAAACAAACACGTACAAGAGCGCCGCCGGCCGCTTGTGTTTTTCTTGGCGCTGCGACAACACGTTTCTGAAGCCTAGCGCCACGCTATCACACCCCGCTCAAGCGTCCCATGCGCTTATAGCTGAGACCGTGGCAGGAAATAGCACCCCGCGCGTGTCGTGGCTTCTCCTTCTTTCGGACGGACCCAGGTCCGTGCGGATCCATTTCGGTCTACTTGTACTATTACTAAAAAAAATGCTCACCGGCTTGCGTTCTTCCGCATCTCGTCCTTCCCTTCCGACGTCATGGTCGAATGCATGTCTTGGGCCCGCTGTCGAGAAGGAAAAAGAGGAGGAGGAGGAATAAACGAAACAAAAACGAGGAGTGGGGAGGGGCAAAGCGCCGTGTGTGTGCGCGCGGTGACGAGGTGCAGATGTGAGTCGCAGGTTTGAGACGAGAGACTGCTGTCCGAGGACCAGCGCTTGACAAAACGTCATGTACTTCCACTAGAAGATGTGCTGTTCGACAGTAGACTACATGCATAGTTTCTTCTTTTTGTTTTCACTTCACATCAGCTCTCACAGCACTTGTGCCGTTTACTCCAACGCGTGGTCGCACAGAAGGGTTCCTCTCCCTCAGGCCCCCTACCCATCCCTCCTGCGATGCTTTGCCTGCGAGAAGAGTGCTGTACTCTCTTCCCTCTGTGTACACGCGAACTACGTAGCGCTTTCCACCCAGACCAGGTACGGAAGCGAGAGAAAAACTCACTTTGCAAGCCCGCTTACGCTGGGATTCGAACCCCCTGACCCTGGCCACTATTTTCGAAGGTTTTCGAGGATACCAACCACGGCATTTTAAGGGAGTGCCGAAAAGGGATTGTGACGCTGGCTCTTTTTCCCATACTTTAATCCTATCCAAAGAAAGAAAACAATCTTCCCGCCAGGGTTAGGTGTCGCATTCTATAGCCATCAGTACAGGGCACCATGAAGAGGCGTCGTGCGTGCTGGTACGTTAAGGTTTGCTGCTGGAGCTGAAATATCGGAGGTCGCAGCAGCCTCTGAAAACTGTCCGAACTGCGCCGGAACCAAGCGGCATCCAACATTTGTCACAGCCGTGCTCACCGCCACGGACAGTAAAGCCCTGAACCACGGATCGTCAGCAGTAGCTAGTGGCATCAGCTACTGCTCAAACCCGCAGTTGAGGAGATTGGGGTCAGTGGCGGCGAGCACGGCTGATACAAACGTTGGATGCCGCTTGGTTCCGGCGCAGATTTCGGACTGTTTTTAGAGGCTGCTGCGACCTCCGATATTCCAGCTCCAGCAGCAAACCTGAACGTGCCAGCACGCGCGACGCCTCTTCATGATGTCCTCTCTTGATGACAAAAGAATGCGACACCTAACACTCAAAGTTGACCTTGTTTGGGCGCCTTTCGTTTTGGCTCTTGTGAAGAATTTAGAATGGTGTGATCTTTTATCTTGATTTCAAATTTTTTATCTTGATTTCAAAGGAGGCGTGTGGAGGTAGACGAGTGAAATGTATGTTTTGAGCAGCCTCTACTGCCGTCCTGTGCGAGAACCAACGATTTCTGTTTTTCGCGGTCCCTTCCTACTGGTCTGGTGTGTCTGTCGTGCAATTTCTGGTGCTCTTGCGTTTGATTTCAAAACGAGTCAACATCAAAATTCATCTTCTGCACCCCCTTAAAACTAATGCTGTTCGATGCGAGGACCAACTGTTGTCAATCTGAGGACCTCACCTACGGCCTCTCTATCGCCATGCATCCCTTCAGCAGTCATTTTGATTTGGCTACGCTTGGTACAGTAGTAGAGAGGGCAACAATCCCATTGTGGCCTCCGAAGAGAAAGGAAGAGAACCAGGATGGCGGATGGTGTACAGAACATGCGAAAAGGAAGAGGTACATACTTGCTGAAAGCGGAGAGAACATTCCCCACATTGTGATGAGTGATGAGTGAAGCAGTGAAGCCTGCCGCGAGCACGATCTTGGGATCAACACATTAGACACAACCGCTGATGAATCCCAGCGGCGGGTGAAGTGGACTAAAACAATCCGTGCGAACGCACACAGGGCACTCGAACAACGTGCTAGCGATAAAGCGAAATCACGAAGTACATACCAATGATTGTGTGGGTAGCAAGTTCTGCTATTTACAAACTCGTCTAACGCAGCCAGCAGCAGCGTATCTAGCCTCGTCGAAGCTGGCTTAGCTCAGACGAAAGTCCGGTGGAGTGGGGGTGGACTTCCAAGCACATCGCTGCGTGCTGTCTGCAAAGTGTGCGTTAGCAAACCTGTCGGACATCTTCACCCGTGTCTTCGCCACCAGCACCAGCAGAGGCATTCAGCGTTGTTGTTGTCCCCACCCTACCACTTCCTGCTGGTGCCTCTTCTGCCGATCGTGCCATTGTCGTTGTTGCAGATGATAATGATGCGGTGTGTTTCCTACAATGTGTGCGTGCCACGGAAGCAACGCAAACAGCTGAAGCTTGTCTGAACGGCGAAACGAAAGCTTGACAATGTCGAATCACTAGCACTAGCATCAGCGGAGCCAGGGCGCACCCTGTCGAGCTGAACAAGGCCCGCATCGTACCAACGATATCTTGCTAGGCGCTGACAGCTGTGGACATGCTCTCGCTCTGTCTCGCTCTGAGGGGTGACGCAAACAAGAGCAAATATGTAGGTTTTGTAGGGGCTCCGCAGAATGAATTCTCTCAGTTATTCGGTTTGTCGGCGGTCGGCGGCTCTCTCAGTTTCAGACTGATCGAGGGACAGCAAACGGCACCACCAGCGCAGAACCTGTCGTCGATGGCCATAGGAGGAGAGGCGTTCGAGGCGCGAAAAATCAGTGTCGTGAGTTCAAACGGCGGTAGCGGCGCCGCAGAGGCGATGGAGGAGGAGCGGTTACCTGTTGTCGGGGCTGACTGCGGAGTAGGCGGTGTGACGAACCAAGCCGACGTTGAGCAGGCCCTAGCGCGCTTCGCTCAAGCCGCTGCATCCAGCCCAACGGTGAGCTTGAGCTGCAGGACTGTTGGAAAATTATCGGGCGTGTTACTGGCAAGTGCGTCCCAGCGGTGTATGCCGTGGGTCAAGTTAAATTGGGAACGTATGTAAGACCTTCAGATTCCGGTCATGCAGTACTGGTGTATCAAGAATGACCCGTTCTTTGTTTTTGAAAGTGAGCGACCAACCAAAACAACGTATTTTTTGTGTTGAGGTATTTGTTTCCGTTCAGGGCTTCCCAGGGAGGAGACCTAACAGAAGTGTACCTTGAGCGCTGAGCGGGGGATGCCAGCAAGATGACGAGAGCGCCTGTAGCGTGAGGGAACAGATTATCCGCGCACAACAACGTGTTTGTGCACTTTCATTTATGCTGCTGCCAGCGGTCGGTTCTCCGGACGCAACTCTCCGTCGTGCCCTTTCCGCGTTTTGGATCGATCCGGTTCCTCGCTTTTTCTCCATGCTATTTTGATGTTACGTATTCAAGTTTGTATTTACCCGTGAGAGGCGCATCAGTACATACTGTAGTGCATTACACCCTTGTTTCACGCGTTGTAGGTTGCCCCGCACCGCCGGGTGCAGTACGCCCGGGCACAGTTGAACTCCGCCTCAACAACAGCAGTGCTGCTGCTGTGTGTGGCAAATGGTTGGCATCCGTCGTCGCTCAGTCGGTCTCGTTTTTTTTTTTTTTTCTGCTCGCGGACGCGGGAAGTCCTAGCAATTTCTCGTGGATTCCCCGAATCGATGCGGCTGTGATTTTGTGAGCATAGCGTGCATCTATGTATGAAATGTATGCACACAAGTTATTTTCTCATGTCGATTCTATCAATTTGAATTCCGCCCTCTGGGCACACCTTCATGGCAACTTGTGTGCAGTCCAGACGGCACGCAATTTTGCGGAGGCTTTCCGCTTCTCGCCTTTTATTCTATAATCCGGGAGACCTCCTGACGGTTATCGACAAGTAGACCATACCCGCCACACGGGCGAATAAGAGACACGCAAGTTGCTTGTAAGTGGTTGGTTGGTACCCACGTATGCATGTATCTTGGAAATTTGAAACAAAGAGGCATCGTGTGATAGACATTGGGCCGAGTTTGATTCGAAAGTACCAGGTGGGAGGACGCCTTTTCTGTAGCTGACTGCTGTGGTTTTGCTGTGGTCCGCGTTATTGCGTCAACCTCGGTCGCGTGCTTGCTCAAATGGGGTATGTTTTCCCGTTAGGATTTTGTATAGTTTTTGTCTCTCGCTCATGCTCATCACACACGATGCCCACCTGTGACGCGTGTTATCGAAGCAAGCCTTTGATGTAATAAGCCCCCGATATATCCCGATTCTTCAGCCTTCCGGGAACGAGAAACAGGATAATAAACCAGCTTGGTTTCATGAACGTACTCAGTAGGAATTCACGTTTGGGAAGACGTTGTTGGGATGCCCCCCTGCGTGGACCGTAGAAGCACAGAGCACTTCAAGTACTACCCTCTTATTCTGGTCGTTGCCCCTCCTTTTGGCGTGGAGTGAAAAACACACAACACACCCACGATACCCCTTTCCACCTGGTCCATTCGCCGTCGTCCCGATGCCATACCACCGCCGAGGACCACCTCCGCTCACTGCTCATGTTTTTGCGGTTGTTCGTTCGTCCTTGGCGCGCGCACACCACCAGAATCCCCCGAAAATTCCGCCGGAGCTGGAAGGCGTTCTCCGAGAGATCGCCGCGGTGGGCGTCCCGTACTACGGGTGGGGCGGGCTGAAGGAGCTACTGGCCGCGAGGATGTCGCAGGCGGTGGGGGCGCTGCGGAAGGACTCGGGATTCTTTCGAGCGGCCGGGGGCAAGGACTACCCGCAGCGAAGGTGCGTGCGCGGATGTGTTTTTTTTTTTTTTTTTCTTAGGATGATTTTGGCATCGACCCGAGATTACCGGCCGTCTGAGCAAATAGAAAAATGTGTCCTTGTGTGTGAGCTACATAGAGTCGGGTGTGCTTGAGTCTGGCTAGTCAATCAAAATACGCCGAGGCGCGAGAGAAAAACGCCATAATGGAGGGGCTCTCTATACATAACGCTGCTGTGCGTGTGCTGTCACCGGATTTCGCCCGCTTCAAGTTTTCGTACGGGTAAGTAACTTTCGTACTCTGTGCACACACACACCCCCGCTGCCGGGAGGAGCTTTTTGTTTCTCTTTCTCGTGTGTGCGTTTTGTTGATGTGCTGTCGAGAGGTTTTGTCTTCTTTGTGATGGGTTTTGGTTTGTATCTTGGTCTTCTTCTCTGCCTCTGACGAGGAGAGAACAGGCAAGCAAGCACGGCCGGAAGTGCCTGTGAAGGAGAAGTCGAATCCCCAAAACGCACGCCAGTCACCCGAGAAAAGATCGCGCCGCGTAGTATGTGTTGTGCCAGTTGGTTGGCGGTGGAATGTTTTCCATCTAAATACGCCATAAAGAAGTCAATGCTGCCGTTCCTCTTGGTTCTTGAGTATTCCCCCTTCCTTGCTTTCCCTCGACGGACGGACGAATTGTGTGTGCTGTATTGGCATACAAGCCGAACCGAGACATGATATGATTGCCCTCATGGGTTACATCCCTCGCGCGCTTGTGTGGCTTTGTGCGTCTTGTCCCCTTGTTCGCCCGCCGCCGTTTCTCTCTCTCTCTTCACAGAGACGAGCTGGTGGCTTCCCTCCGAAGGTTTGACGCTGCGCCGTTCACCCTCCAGCGATTGGCTGAGGTTCTCCAGGTAAGTCACTACTCTGTTGCTATTTTTCCATTTGTTTTTTCCCTTTCGTTATTTTTGTTGTCGTCGCGGCCCACTACGCACGCCCCAGCAGTGCTGTTGTTGATTCGAACTTACATTAGGGAGAGGGGGGGGGGGGGGGGTGTACTCATAGTCCCGCAAGCCGGAATCCTTT